AGAATATCAACTGGGTTGTGCCTGAGGGCAGCGGGGGACCAGCATACAACGGCATGTGATTTCAACATTACATATTTTTATTATCATCATTGGGGAACATTGCACAGATTCTTAGTCAGTGCTTTTAAAGACTTGAGTCGTCCTTATGTGCCTAAGGGACAGAATGTCCTCAGAATGTGCTGTGATATGAGCTTGAAGTGTAATTACGTAAAGTGGCTAAGCATATGTCAGGTTTGATCAAATTGTATGAATTGAAAATTTTACATATAACATCTGTCCAAGGAATGTGTCATAAAAGACTAAGGATCGTGTTGGATTGACAACCAAAGTGAGGTTTTAGTTCAACAAGATAACTGTAAACTGACGGTTTTGTATATATTGTCAAAGTTGGAAAACTAACTGGTAGAAATAAATTAATTGTCACAATTTGCTGGTTTGTTTTTTAGAACAAACAACACAATCTTAAACATGAAACATCTTTTAACATATTAATTGTTTTAATCCACACAACTAACATGGCTAATTCCAATTTCACAAATGAACAAATGTTTTGCTGTTTTATTCAGCGCTAGATAGAATTAATGAACAGTAGTTAAGACAAACGAACCCAAGAATTTTTCTTTTTGCAAAGTCACTCTTTCGGGTCAGCAATCTTGGTCGCTAAAAATGCACTGAAACTTTTGTTCCTTAACTCATCTCACACACGGTACAGATCATATGAAACTCTTTCCAAACCTTAATTTTTACCTTAAATTAGAGACTTTTTTACCCAGCTATACACTTACTAAGACACAAGTGCAATGTAAGTGAACATATGCAGGTAGGGCGGTGTGGAGTGAGGTCACTGCAGTTTTCTTTAAGCAAACATTTTGGCGTAAATCTTCTTTTCTTTCTCCTTCTCTTCTTTCACTTGCTTCTTCACTTTCAGCATTTCATTTCCAATTGCTTGAATCAGGGAAAGGAAAATGTTAAAAAAAAAAGTCATAATCAAAGATATTTTTCAACTAAATTTAACAAATAATAGATTTGTAAAGAGCTGGTTAACCTTTGTCATCTGGTGCAATCTCCTGTGCTTTCTTCAGATCAATCTGCGTTTAAAAAGACAGACGCTAAGTGCTCTGAAAGCCAACAACCAGGAACAAATTGTCATGTAAATGAGAGAAATGTTCTAATATTGAAAGACAGACTCGTTCAAAGTACTTATTAAAACATTCTGACATTTCATCTCGGGTCTTGCTGAGTTGAGTAGGTGGAGTGATTCTGTCTAACAGGATGTTATTTTAGTATCATTGTGCTACTATTATAGTTTTTACTAATAGTTTGAAAGGGTTTTTTTTTTTTTTTTTTTTTTTGTGTGTGTCCATAGTTATAATTTTTTTAATAGTCATTTTAGTACATCAATTTGAACTAAATTAAAATGAGAAATGTTTCCTTGCTAACTAGTTGAAATCATCTTTCCTATTGACTTTCCTAAATAACAAGTCCTGTTTACTAGTTCTAAATTTAACTGTCAAAGATAATTAATAATGAATTCGTTCATTTTTTGAAGCCCGAAAAGCTCCACATCCTTCATAATTTCTTCATGGAAAGTCATACATGGTTTGGAACGACATGAGGGTAAGTAAGTGATGCCAGAATTTCATTGTTTTCTTTAAGATGTGTTTAGGCCAGTGGTTCTCAAACTATTCATCTATTGATAGTTTGAGAACCAAGAATTAACTATTTAATTGACCAAAAGCACCAAGTCTCTTTACTTACAATGAGCACTAGAACTGTGAGAAACTATTTCCCAAGATTTGCGTTCTGCTTTTTTTTTTTTTTTTACTTGCCACCCTAAAAACTTTAAGAACCAATGATTTAGAGTGAGATAAATGTGTATTTCACTCAGTGTAGTGTTTGTACCATGGCCTTGTTGAATTCTTTAAGGCCCTGCCAGGCTTGAGCTCTTCTGAACAACGCTTTAGTGTTTGACTGGTTCAGCTCCAGAGCCTGAGAAAAAAAAATGTTTCCATGTTATAATAAATAAAACATCACAATCACCGCACAAACCAGTAGAAAATAGTTTTACGGTGTGTTCACACTTGGCAAGTTTCTTTCGATTAAAGCAAACACTGGGTGTGATCCCTCTGAATTGTAAATTGAATTGTAAACGCAGCTATCTAAACCTTTTCAGTGGGACTCGGTCCGCTTCCAAACAAACTCTAGTCGGTCTGACTAAAAAAGGAACGCAACATGGACCAAAGACATCTAAATGAACCAAAAACAGGATGTAATGTCACAAGATGTGACCTGGTCATAGGATCTGCACCGCCCACTACAGTTCAGTACAGGTGTCATAACCGTTGTCTCCTTGCAGCACATGTTTTGTGTGACTCTTTTACGCGTTTTATAATTCTCAGCTATATGCATTTACACATACAACAAGCGCATTTAACCCATAACACGGCCTTGTTTTAAATGTTCTGTCTTTAAAATATTCATCCTAAAAGCTGTCCAATTAGCTTGTGACCTTATTCTTCTACCTTTTATTCTGTATCTTTAGATCCTGTGTTAAAACAACAGAATGTCATTGTATAATTTTCTTTTTTGGTCCAGACCTAAAGATCTAAATGTGAAACACACCCTTACAGGCCCTTTTGAGAAATTATTCAACTTACTTCCATTTCAACTGACCCCTAAATAGAGAGACAGTGCATCTGGTAATCTAAAAATGGCAGCGACCATGACAAGGTTATTTCAAGAGCGGTGAATGGCTGAGATGTGTTGTTATAAAAAATCTTGAGGTCTTTTGCTTCTTATATACTCTGATCCTGGCAATGCTACTGGACACAGTCCAGGTGGCTCAAATGTCAGAAGATCCCATGTTACCTCATCACAGCTCTCGAGCGCTTCTTGCCAGAGTTTGAGTTTGAGCTTGCAGGCGGCCGTGTTGAGAATGCAGCTCAGGGCCGTGGGCTCCAGCTTCTTTTGGGCACTGTCGTCGTCGTCTAAGATGTTGCCACAAAACTCTAGATACCTGTGGACCAAAGTAACCACAGTGACGCTGCTGGTTTACAATATGCAGCACTGTAAATCAGCAGTGTCACTAAAGGTTACTTTGGTCCATGTGACAGACATGTCACATTCACAAATGTTATGAGCAGCATGTAGATCATTGCACACTTTGAGAGATCTTGCTTATCAAGCAGGTCATGTCATCGAGACATGAAAAACAGGGCTATTACAGCATTTTTAAAAGGTTTGACACATTGAAATCAAGTCTATAAAGCTGGATGTAATGAAATAATGGGGCTTAATGGCAGACTCGAGTGTTCACCTGAGAGCTTTTGAATATTTCAGTATGGCTGACTGCCAGTTCTGAGCCTTGAAGAAATTATTCCCGATATTTTTCACATCCTCTGCCACAGAAAAGACTTTGTTTGTCTAGAAAGAGAACAGATTAAGTTGTTTTTAGCAAGTGAAATTTCAGCTATCATACTATAATATTGTGTAATATAAGTTTGAGTTGCAAATCGCAAAGAGCCATATCTACAAACGCAATATTTACTTGTCATTTAAAGGTTATAAGCTTGTATATGCATATTTAGAAATAGTTTATATATACATCTTTAAAGTCTATGTCAGAGTCCTCAGGGAAGTCTGGGTATGCGTCTCCTGAGCCGTCGTTAGGTGCGATGCCCCAGTCGTCTCCCGCTTTAAGTTCTCCACATTCAGCAATGACGCAGGGCTGAGAGAGAGAGACACTTACAATCAGTTTTAATATACATATTCATTTGCTCACTGGAAAAAGGAAAATGCATTTTCTGTTTCCTTCTTGGAGAGATAAAAGGTTACAAACTTGCTGCGTCCCAATTCGCATACTATCCATCCTAAATAGTATTTGAAAATAGAATTAGTAAGTCCCAAATTGTAGTATGTTGAAATGAGTGTTTCAAAGAGACCCGGATGGTCTACTATATCCGGTCAGAATCCGATGTGTAGATCGATGCACACTCTAATGGCTGATATTGCCCACAACCCATCGTGCGTTGAAAGAGGATTCGGTTAGAACTACAAACACGAGTAAAAAGTGTTAAAAAAAAAAAAAAAAGTCCCATGGTTGTGTAGAGAGGTTTAGATAAAGAGCTTTGAGTGATTAATTATACTAAGTATCTAACCTGACGAAAAAGAATTTATTCAATGTTGTCCACATTATATTGCATCTGCAGCAGCATTGTGAACTTTAGTAAAGATACATTTAGCCATTGCTTTTTAAATATATTCAAATTGCAAACACGAGGAGAGTCTCCACATGAAAGACCCACAGCCGGCAGATGAAGGTGCTCTCCGAAACGGTAGGAAATCAAATTAGATAAAATGGTGGATTTTAACTGTGACGAGATATTTGACAGGACAGTTTACGCAGACAGGATGCACTCAGCACACGACAGAGCTGTCCGTTAAAGATGACGTGATAGTATGTCCCAAAGCTTGCCTACTCTTTAGCTACACACTCAAAAGTATGTACTTTTTCTTCACAAAAAGAGTACATACTTTTAGGGCGTAGTATAAGTAAGCGAATTGAGACGCAGCAACTATGTCAACTCCTTTCAAAAAGCTAATTTATCACACAAGCTAGTTCACCTGTGCAGAACAGGTGACAGACTTAATTTCATGACTATTAAATCTTGATAAAGGTGACTAAATGCCTGTAAAAGACTCAGACACACCTGTCCTTCAGGACCAGTTAAGATCTCGCTCACGCTAAATTTCTAAGCATGGTAGCAGATGTCACAACGTCATGATGCGTTTAAAGAGTGAAAAATGTCTGCATGCATTTAACGGTCACCTTCACAGGATTGTCTTCCTTTGTTTCCAGCCCCTCCAGCAACTTCACCACCCCCATTCCTTTCAGCACCTGGCCAAAGACGACATGTTTGTCGTCCAGATGCGGCGTGGGAACCGTGGTTATAAAGAACTGTGAGCCGTTGGTGTTGGGGCCGGCGTTGGCCATGCTGAGCAGACCCTCTCTGTCGTGCTGGGGGGAGAGAGTCACAACCATTTAATGAAGCACCACTTCATTCAAGAGAAACACAAGGTGCATCTACTGTATGTCTCATTTATTCCTCAAAGCAGACACCAGGAAATTAGCAGATGCCTCAGGGAGATGAATCAAGGGCTGTGTTTGGTATATTTAATCTCAGAGCAATTTGTGAGCAACTACGCAGACTGATGGATTTGGTTAATTAAGCGAAAGGTTCACTAAAAATAAAAATTCTGTCACTGAATATGTGCATCGAACAAGATTTGGCGTTCATTAGAGATGGGTCGTGGTATGACCAGAATCCTATATCATGTTTTCCAGCGTGAACATTCTGCTAAACTACTTCTGTGTTACCGGATATGAACAACATGAGGGTGAGTAAATGATAAGACTTTTTATTCTTTAAAGCAAAGGTCAGCCGGAACCGGGAACACTTCCCATAACATTCTAATGTAGCCTACTCTTTATATCATACGAGGAATGGCATCTATACCAATATTAGTCTCTCTGTTTATCCGGAGGTTTACCGTACTCAGCCGGATCCGGGCCGTATCCAAATCAGATGAAGGACCTGCGCCTAGGCATGAACAAAACGCAGCCTTGAAGTATCAGCAGAGACCGTGTCAACTAGACTATCTCCTGACTATCTCTTTTTTTTTTTTTAACGACAAACGTTTTTCCTTTTGAACAGTTGAAAACTTTATCAAAATGAAACACGCAAACGACTAAAAACGCTGTATTATGCATCCCAGACAAGTAATTGGCAAAGTCACTTTCTAAAGAATGACTACGTGTCCGCACACAAACGCGCATATGGAGGGATTGAAATCTAAAAGTCTTAAACGAAAACTAAAAGTCTAATTCGAAAATGAATTTGGTATTTAGGATTGGGCATTTGGTATTTAGGATAGAGCATTTTGTCATTTAGCCATTTAGGATTTAGAATTTGGTATTTAGGATTGGGCGTGTATTTGAGGAATGTATGCAAATAAGGAGGTGTGGTCCAAATACTGGAGGCTGGGTTTGAAATGGCTGGTGCGCAGAGGCACCTTATGGACAGCAGAGGGCGCTCCCAGTGCTTAGGAATACACTAATGAAAGCAAACAGAGCGAGTGAGCAGGGCTGGGGGAGCGGAGACTGTACTTTATAGGGGTGAAAATATTCTCACAAAAGTTTTGTCAGTACTACATATATATAATGTTGATTATAATGTATATTAATGCAATGGGGGAATATTTGTGGGTCCTGATAATGCCATCTGATAATGTAAAAAGTGCCCAACATTATTTTAAATGTATCTAGTCAGAAAAAGTGCAAGAATATTTGTCTAAATAATTCTGTATTTTCAGCTTCAGAATCATGAATATTTGTATTTTTGGTGTCACCATTGTCCTTGGGTTACAAGCACCGAATCCAAGCCTATTCATTTAAACCCACAATGTAATATCAAAGTTAGCATTTTTAATCAACAGTACATTTTTTGTTAACCTTTTATCATATGTCTTGGAGTATCGCAATAATATCGTATCGGGAGTTCAATATCGTGATATGTATCGAATCAAAGCACCAAACGCTTTTGTTGTGTAAATGGAACGGCCAGAACACATTAAGTTTTCTGTTTTCAATTGAAATTTCTAATTTAATAACTGGAATGGAATTGAATCTATTAAAAACGTACTTAAGCTAGACAATGACTTCCTTCCAGAGCTGCTGTACAGCCAAAACAAACATTAATTTCCTATTATCAGTGTAAAGCTGCTTTGAAGCGATCTGTATTGTAAAAAAAACTATATAAATGAAGCTGATGTTACAAAGCAGCTCTGTGGTACCTTGTAGTGAAAGTTTTCATCCTCAAACTTGTCCCCGTAGATGCTCTCTCCTCCAGTTCCATTCATATTAGAAAAATCTCCACCCTGGACCATAAATTTTTTGATGACTGAAGGGTACAAGAAGAGATACAAAGTTGATTCATTGTTTTATAGAGGGTGAATTTTCAGGTTATCCTTTTAAATGATCATACTTAATGTGACTAATAAGACTATTGTGCTAGCATGACATGAGCAATGAAATATTTAATAGCTGGCAAAAAAATAAATAAATAAAAAGCTTTCCATCTCCATGGAAACGGGAGGTCAGGACACTCACTGCGGTGGAATGGACAGCCCTTGAAGTGCAGTGGTTTTCCGGTGCTTTTACCAATCCCTTTCTCACCGGTACAAAGAGCACGGAAATTCTCTGCAGTTTTAGGAACCACATCAGCAAAGACCTCAAACATAATACGGCCAACTGCAAAGAGAAATAAAAACATCAGAATTAATTACTATCAGATATTTAGTCATCAGGTGATATGTGGCTGCTTATTATGACCGCTATTATTAGTTTTTAATGATTTTATCTGACCATATTGATTTTGCTTTGCGGATATCACTAAACTCAAAATCTAGAGTTTGACTTCCAAAAGAGTTACTCACTATAACTGAAGATAAGAAATGAGAAGTACTGTCATCTTTTCTTCTTATTTAATGCATTTTTTAGTTTGTATTTTATTTTTATTATTTTGTTATTTGTTTTGCTACTGATAAAAAACAGTTATTTAGCAAACATTTTGGTTTGAGATAGATGGAAAATATCTTTACATATTAAAACTTATTTCTTATTTTTTATTCTAAACTGTTTTAATTATTCTGATTTCTTTTTTGGATTATTTTAATTTCTTCTATGTAAAGCACTTTGAATTGCCATTGTGTATGAAATGTGCTATATAAATAAACTTGCCTTGCCTATATATGTACACTATTATATTCTAAAATACATAATTACAATCTTTAAAAGTGCGACTTTAATATTGTATCCCATATATTACGATAACTTATATGAAGTAACGTTAGAGGACAAAAAATGTACTGCACAACAGCAATGACTCGTCTAACGTTATTATAACCTATGGTTATAACATTATAATACAGAAAACACTCAATGGCAAAACGGGGAAATGCATGTTGCTTTTCTAAACAGTAGTGTCCCTAGTTGAGTTGAGTGCATTTATTTCTTAATTCCTTGTCTTCCTTCTAAGAGGCATGTGGCAGCAGACAGAGGCATGATGGAGTCATTCAGCTTCTTTCTAAAGAAAAACAAAAGATTCTGACCTCTTTCACCATCGATATCTACGTCAAAGAATACCAGAGGGTTGTCTGCGTTTCCAGGCTTGGTTTCAGGAGTTGGGTTTGACATTTTCTTGGATTTTGATAGGCAATTGTCGCCAACTCTGACTGGACGGGGTAACTGGAATATTCTGTGAAAACTAAAGGAAGGCAGCACCGTTGAGTTTGTAACTGAAGCATAAGTGAGCGTGTAGCGCCCTCTGCTGCTGTGGAGTCTATATGCACAGGCGCTGTAATGCTTTGTTGGAATGACCCTCCTGTCGGTATACGTTCATGATTCTTGACACATGAAACAAAAAAAAACATAGACCTCCTCCTTTCCAACAAATGTAATATTTTGCTTTGAAATCAATCAAGAGATGATTACTAGAAAGTTCTTGGTTAGTATAATGCCCTTTTCACAAGATACACCATACTAATACTGTGTTTGACCCCCCCCCCCCCCCCCCACACACACCTTCAGAACTGCCTTAATTCCACGTGACATTGATTCAACAATGTGCTGAAAGCAGTCTTTAGAAATATTGGCCCATATTGATAGGATAGCAAATAGTGTAGTAAAGAGTAAAGTAAAGAGTGGTTATTTCAGTCAAAGTTGCTCTTCTATCAGCTTGAATTAGTCGGCCCATTCCCCTCTGACCTCTAGCATCAACAAGGCATTTTGACTCCCGCATACTGGATGTTTTTCCCTTTTCACATCATTCTTTGTAAACCCTAGAAATGGTTGTGCATGAAAATCCCAGTAACTGAGCAGATTGTGACATACTCAGACCAGACCATCTAGCACCAACAACCATGCCACATTCAAAACCTTTCTTTCCCATTCTGACATTCAGTTTGGAGTTCAGGAGATTGTCTTGACCAGGATCTCACCCCTAAATACATTGAAGCAACTGCCATGTGATTAGTTGATTAGATAATTGCATTAATGAGAAATTGAACAGGTGTTGTTTCCTAATAATCCTTTAGGTAAGTGTAAATCTCTGATGTCCCCAGGGTGGCTATGTGATGTTTTAGCTCAAAATACCCCACATATATTTTTTATAAATAGCTTGTTAAAATTACCTTTATAATATGATAAAGTATGAAAGTTCATTTGTTTCGAAAGGGCATTTATTGCAGTGATGCCATAGAATAACTATTTATGGTGGTTACCCATTTAAACCTTTCAGTAAACAGTTCTAAAAACTAAGAACAGTTCTAAGAACATTCTAACAATCTAAGCGTGTATCCACAGACAATACTAATTTTACATATAAAAGCCTTTGCAATATAGGCTAATGCAATATAAAATAGCAATCACAGAATACATGTCTCCATATCTGATATCTGACCTACATTATGACTGTATGAAAAAGAAAAATATGATCTCTACTTAGTGAAAACAGGATTGCAGGCTACTTTACCATTTCATATCAGGTATGAACCAAAACATGAATAGTACAGCAAAAAAAGATGCATTTAATGTAGTTTTACAAAAGAGTTGACTAAATAAATGATTCAATGACCACTTTCAAGAATTATTCGACTTGTGTCAAATTCTAGAGAAAAAGTCATGCATCTGGTTGTGCTTTCTCCGTATGCACTGACTGCCTTTACTGCAGACCTCTGACCTGAACAATAGAACAATAAGAGAATGATTAGATTCAGACACTAAATTGCAGTTTATTCTTAATATAACAATGGGCAACCCAGCAGTGGGTTTGCAGAGTGTGTATCATTATCTCATATATCTTACTTCATTAGATGAGAACTGTTGGTTGTCATCCTTGCTGTAAGTATCATGTGCGCCGTGGTTCCAAACAAGCCTCCTGCAGGTCGTTTGCTTGTCCCGAAACCAGGGCTGAGTGTGCCTGTGTGCAAGCATTAAATTATTGATTACCAGAGGAGAAAAGCTTCCTCTCATCCACCCTACCCATTTCCTGCCAGTGAAACCCATCACCGTCCAGAGCAATCCCCTCGATAGTCTCCATTGTTCCTGTGTTGTGGGTTTGAAAATGTGGCGCTTTTAAGATGATGTTATGGCAGTAGAGGCGCGCGCAAATAACGATCAGTCCTACACACTTTGAAGGGGTACTACTGCAGTGGAAACGCAAAGCGATCCGAACTGTTCCGCGCCGAGTCGAAGCGTACTGGGCCGAACCGTACCGTACTATGCAGTGGAAAAGCGCCATAACACGTGCTGTGAGGGTTAAGTTTAGGTGTGGGGTAGGGTGTGCGTGTCATTTTCACGCTAAAGGATTTATAACGTCTTGGGTTCGCGTGTTACATTAACGATAAAGGGTGCCATGTGCGTAGTATAGCGCCGTTTTTGCATATAGCGTTCTATATGACGTTAAAGGATGAGAACGGGCAGGTTAGTTAACGGCAACTATAGTAATTCACTATAATTATTTACACTTCAAATGTTTGGGGTGAGTAGGCCTACGATTTTTTTGGTGTTTTTGAAAGAAGTCACTTATGCTCACCGTTTATCTGATAACAAAAGTATAAAAACCGCAATGTCGTGAAATATTATGACAATTTTAAAAACGTGTTTTTTTTTAATGTAATACATTTTAAAATGTAATTTATTCCTGTGATGCAAAGCTGAATCCATTCTTCAGTGTCACGTGATCCTTCAGAAATCATTCTAATATGTTGATGTGAAACATTATTATCAATGCTGAAAACAGTTATGCTGCTTACTATTTATCTGGAAACCGTGATAAAAAAAAAAAATCAGGATTCTTTGAAAGTTTAAAATAACTTTTCTTTAACAACTTAAGTGTTAATACTTTACTTTAATTTAATTATTTAATAATTACTTAAACAATAACAACATCAAAATTTTACTGACCCCAAACTTTTGAAAGGAATAGGCCTAGTGTTTATTTCAGCACAGTCTCATCCCAAGACGTCATATATCTGACGTCTTGGGACGTCATATATCTGACGTCTTGGGACGTCTTTTGATCCGCCTTTTTAGGGTAGGATTTATACGTCAACATCCGCCTTTTAGGGTACCCTTAAACGTCGGCTACATGACGTTATCGGATCCTATACCCCAGACCTAAACCTACCCCTAAACCTACCCCGCCACCTTACCGACGTTAAAGGTAAAGCGTCAGTTGAATGACGGCCCGGGATCGTCATGTAACCCAAGTTTAAAAAAAGGCAGATGTTGAAGTATGGTAAAAACTAAAAAGACGTCCCAAGACGTCAGTTATATGACTTCTTGGGATGAGACTGTATTATTTATTTTTATTTTTTATAAGTTTATAAATATAATATGGGAAAATGGGTCTAGTTGTCTTACTTTTTATGCCAATGTTTCTCAGGTTTTTTGAAAGTCAATTTCTATGTTTCCCATGTACGGAATAATATGTAATTTAATGAACACACATTGGTTAAAAGAAATTCAAATATACTACAATATAATATAATATAATAGGCTAATAGTATAATATAATGACCTGATATAGTGTGTGGTTGATGACAGTAGTCCGCCTGTTGAGTGCAGTGCTGTAATGTAGACCCCAGCCAACTTCTCCGGTGTATTGGTGTTTCGGTAACGGCGGGGTCGCGGTGGCTGCAGGCCGGAAGAGGTAGTTGAGGTCACTCGTGGCATCTGGAGATAATGGGCCAATTCCAATGCTGCGGGGGAAATAGTCCAATTTGGGACGGAAATCTCCAATGCCGTCTGGTCCTTGATGACAACAAAAGAAACACTTAATTCAAACTCTTGAACTTATTAATGATTAAATAAAGCGTCATACTAAAATAGATTCATTTACCTGTAAACAGTATTCTCTGTCCAGACCCTGCATGAGAAGGTGTAGTGTCCTGTTGTACCCTCTTCATCCTCCTTACTTTGTTTACTCTTTGTCTTAAAGCTACTGCCAGATCTTTGGAATAGCATGCAGTAAGCGCATCTGAGTGACTGTAAACTAAGCCCTGGGCAGCAGGAGGTCACTCACTCATTCACTCACTCACTCACTCACTCGCGCGCTGTTGACACGGAGAGTTTGGTTTCCACGGAACCTGTGTTTAGTCGTGATGCGTTAAACTTATGAATTATTGATTAAAAAGCACCCAACACTAAACTAAGCCCAGCTCACACTGATTGTGTACACAGTAACTTGGCCTACACTATTGACATAAACAATAAACAAATTGATAATAAAATAGGCCTAAATATTGGCAAACAAAAATAAATGAATAGGCTAAATTGATTAATGAACATAGAGCCTACAGACAAATAAACAAACAATGCTTGAAACTAACAATAGCCTATACATTTGAAATCGATATTAGGCTAAAAACTGTCTGGAAAGAGCATAAATAGTTTTTAGAAAAACAGGTATTTTTAACATGAAATGTTGTGCAATGCACCTTTGGAAAACTGTTTCTCATGCTACATCTTTGATATTCAAAACACTTTCTTTAAACCGGTTTGCTTTTGTTGATATAATAATAAAGCTTTACTTTAGTGTAAGATATCTGATTTCCAGCATCATGGGGGTGTCTTGACAAAATCTCATTATGAGGTTTGTTTAGCCTATACTGAAATGATTTCTGAATCAGGAAGGCACTATTTTTCATCAGTAGGCCCACTGGCTGTTCAATTGTTCCATCTAAACCCGCAACTAACCAGCATCAATCCCACTGGTGACATCTGATGATCTGATGTGTTAAAGAAATTTTTGGTTTATTGTTATTATGCTATTTATATGAGTTGTCAACAGTGCAGAATGTCTTGATATCATATTACATGGCTGGAATAGTCACATGATCAGAGGTGTTGAATTCCAAGGTGCCCATCTGTGTTAAACCTGCCATAGCACAGTTATAGGCCTATGGGACCCATCCATAGACGTTTGTTCACTGTAGTGGACATTATATTTTAGTGACTTTTTGTCACATAGGCCTACATGTTTTTAGGTCTGAGTGTCCCGTAAAGAGCACATTTGGGGCAATGACAGCAACTTCTGCTTGGTCTTTAAAAATTACTGACATTAATTTTGGGATCAAATTTGTTATACATTAACATCTCAGGTAAATATGGGGGTTTTAATCAAAATATGGCTTTATCTGTTACAAAACAGGGCATTGATTTCATAATATCCACTGTAGAGGATACCATGTTTTAGGCATTTTGGGAGACAACAATTGAATGGGGAAAGACATTTAGCAATATTCCAATGAAATATTAGTTATTATTAGGAAAATGTTTTCTTTTTTATTACATGTTGTCCCAAGAACACATAAATATGCAAATTAAACGGGGCTACCTATTTATGGCCATACATTGCATAAATGGCATTGTTCATTAAAATGGCTTATAAATGAATTGTTTTAGATATTTCATAACACAATTAAGAAAATAACATATATAAAAAGTTTGGTAAAAAAAAATCGTGAAACCTAAACATTTATTGGTAAATAAAAAAATCCCTTTTGGTTTTGCTAATAGTCTTGGTGTCTTCATCTTTTCTTTTCTTTTTTTTTTTCTTTTTTCCCAAAATGTGTCTTCCATTTCTTTCTTATGCTCTAAATAATGTAAAGACATGAAAAAATATTAAATTCAAAAACTTTTTTTTGATGATATGTGGTGCATCTAAAATTATCAGTTCTATGAAGATTACTCAATCATAATCACATGTAAACATGAAAGTGTGTCGTATATTATAAACATACACAGTCGTATATTTTTATATTAGAAACAGATTCACGTTATAAAATCGAACTTTTCACAATAGTAATGAATTAACTCAAGCGAAATTACGTTTTGGATTATCGTTGGCTTTCCCCATACTTGTCTGAAAATGTGTGGCGTACAATTAAATGCGTGTAATTCTGCCGTCAGTCAGTGGGTGGCGACAGAGCACTGTGTTGTGCGCATTGGAATTGTCCTTTGGGCGCATTATTGTGCTGAATGGACTCGCCCATGAACCCTCTTGAGGCGTTCGGTCACCATGGTGGTGGCTTACAACAGCGAGCCCAGACGGCAGACCCTCCGTTGCGTTTAGACACTAAAACACTATTTATAAATGCTGCCTTTGACTCTCCGCTGCTTTGCAAGTGGCTTAAAATGGACAATCACCAAACGCATTGTAACGGCCACCTAAAGTTGAGAAGTGTTGGTGACATGTTAATATGCCTTTAAGATAGCTACGTCTATTGCGTACGTTATTGTATGCGTGCTGTTAATGTGAGCGCGCACGCACGCTCAGTAGAGTGAAGACGGTTGCGAAGAGAGATGACCGCTCTATCGCTGGCTGTTATTTTGTTCTATTGTGTTTTGCTTCCACTTTGTTTTTGTGACGTTTTGCAGTGTTAATTTCCCTGTTGGCATCTTTCAACATGTATGTGAACAGTGTGCCTAACTAGGGAAGGGCCGCAATAAATCACTCGTGGAACTATAACGTTACCAGTTCGTTTCCACTGTTTTTTCCTTGTCTTCATCTGGGCAGATTTAAAACTCTTGCAGACGTTACAAATTGGCGCCCGAACAACTGGATTCATACCGGTCATCTTTTGTTCTTTGTCTACATGGATGTTCCAATTTTTTTTCTTTTTTTTTGGATGAGGATTTCGTTGCTGGAGGTTTCCCATTGCTGCGACCTTGCTGACTAGCTTGCTATCTACGGACACCACGCGGTCGGTGCGCGACTGATTATCAGGTGCTGTTGGTGTGTTTTTGTGAGTTTCGACTGATTGCTGATACTATTTTCGACACTATTTTTTTTTAGTATATAAACGTTTGGAGATGTTTTTTCGACGTTTTCCTTGTGGATCATTAATTGAACTGGATTGAACTGAATATTGTACTGCATCGAGAAAAAAAAAAGGAAAAAAGAATAGACAATCGTATCTTTTGATCGGACATTTATGCACGAATGCCATCGAGGAACGGTGAAAAGTGAATATTGTGTGTAAGAAAACACGTCTGGGACACAAGTTTTTTTCTTTTTTCTAGTTTTTGTGTGCGTGTCTGCTCACTTAAAGCCAGCACGTGAATATATCGCTATTGGCAACAAGGACACTTGGTTGATTTTTGTTGGGACTATTGTGCCAATCAGTTTTGCTGGTTTAAAAAAAAAAAAAAAATATGTTGGTCACATTGCTGTTACACTGTTGGTAAACATATTTTTGGGTTGCAGTTAAGGGTGAAAATCAAGATTCATATATTTGTGTAAATTTACTATATTGCAATTTATTATTTACATTAATTGATTGAGTTGTGTTTTCACACATAATGGCTACTCACCCTGACTTTCCGTCTGACCTAACTGACTGGCCTACAGATGCAGACTGTTTTCTACAACAGGGGCCGTCACAGGATAATGTTGGGGATTTGCGGTCTCGATTCAAGCTGTTACAAGCAGAAGTGGCAGTGCTGCAGCGGTGCCTTCGCGACTCCATCGACCTACAAAAAGACATGATGGACCGCTTGGCACATCAAGAGTGTACCGTACCTGTTACCCCACAATCAGCTCCCCAAGCCAGCTCAACGCCTTACAGTTTGGCGCAGTCTAAGTCGACAGCCCCAAGGTCAGTGCCAGTCAATGTACCTTATAGTAATGTACCTGCATTTGTTCAGCCACTCACTGTGGATATGAGTGCAACAACAAATTTACTTACTACTATGCTTCACCAATCACGTCTTGAGCCACCAATGTTCGCTGCAGATGGTTCCCTGAATCCTGAGGAATGGCTTCAGTCACTTAATGTATACAGGACCTCTTTGGATCTCACGGATGCCCAAATTCTCCTTGAGCTCCCACGTTTTCTGTCAAAAGAGCCAAGAAAATGGTTTGCAGCACTTAGCACACATTTAACCACTTGGAATCAGTTCTGTGAGTTCTTTAGGACAGTCTTTCTGCCTTCGGACAATCAAGAACGTATCCTGAGGGGCATTTTGGACCGTATGCAGATGCCTAATGAGCCACTGCCGACTTTTGTCGCTCACATGTTGGGTGAGTTTCGTAAGCTAAAGTCCCCTCCGCCTCAACTGGAGCAAATAGACTTGATACGGAAACATGTGCTTGAGAAATATAGAGTCGCTCTTTATGGCACACCCATACCATCAGTAATGGACCTTCTTTTGCGGGCTCATGAGCTTCATGCAGTCCTTGGCCCAAGTGTTGGGTGTCCTCCTCTGAGACAAGCTAGCAGTACGCCCTCAAGGGATGTTCACTGTTTTAAGTGCTCTTTGCCAGGATTCACCACTCGTACATGCCCAAATTGTAGTCCAGGAGGAAAGCCACGTTTGTCTCCAATGGAGCCCCCTGAACTCCCAAGAGATACAGTGAATATAGTGTCAGAAGTGGAACGGATGCGTGGCTCTGACCAAGCCACTGGTGAAGGAAATGTCGTCTCAGACTTTGCCCAGAGGGGAAACTTCAGGGGAGGGAGGACGTTCAGACGGGGCAATCCTCCCTCCAGAAGATAGTTGTGCCTCGCTTACCTGATGATTCCATGAGTGATCAACCTGAGCTGTGTCACGTGGAGGATACTGTGTCCACATCCCATTGGAATACCCCGTTCAGAGTGAAGGTTAATCTTTATGGACAAGTTTTTGATGCAACTCTTGACACTGGTGCTTCTCTCTCTGCGGTGCGATCAGCAATTGTCCAGACTATTCCTGGGGGGACGTACGATTGAAACCATGGTCTGCACCTCCAGTACAGCTTGCGGATGGAGCATCCTGTTGCCCACTGGGTGCCATTTGGTTGTCTTTGGGTTTCATGGGCCAGCGTTTCTATCACCGCTTTGCTGTCGTCCATAATCTTTCTTCTCCCGTTATCTTGGGAATGGATTTTATGTTGAGATCTTCAGTTTCGATTCATGTTCCATCCAGGACAGTAGTGCTCGGCGATGAGCCGGTGCCCCTTGAGGAATTAGAGGGTGCTGACTTAACTATACCTAGTCCTGATCTCTCCTGCCTGGATGTTGATTCTTCTGCCCTGTCTGAGAAGGTTGAAGAATCCTCCCTAACAAATGAGCAGAAAAACAAATTGACTGAAATGTTAAAAACCTTCAGTGGGTTGTTTGATGGACGATTAGGACGCACCTCTCTAGTGGAGCACGAAATTGTTACGGGTGATGCAAAACCGGTTCACCTTGCCCCGTACCGCACTTCTCCTGCTAAAAAGGAACTCATTGAATCTCAAATCAAGGACATGTTGAAGGATGGAATTATTGAACCTGCCTCAGGGCCCTGGGCTGCCCCAGTAGTAATTGTCCCAAAACATTCAGGAGAGCCAAGGTTCTGTGTCGACTATCGTGCACTGAATAAGCTCACTGTCAAAGACTCGTATCCCCTCCCGAGGATTGATGAATCTCTTGACTTTCTGGCTAGAGGGACTTTTATTTCCACTATTGATTTGGCCAGAGGCTACTGGCAGGTGGCGGTGGCGGAGGACTCCAAACCAAAGACTGCTTTCATTTCCCACTGTGGGTTATTTCAGTTTCGGGTCTTACCTTTTGGACTGTGCAATGCGCCCGCCACATTCCAGAGACTTATGAACACAGTCCTTGCGGGTCTCATCTATAAGTCATGTGCCGTATACTTAGACGATATTGTGGTGGCGTCGCCTACTTTCGAGCAGCACCTTGTGGACCTGAGAGATGTTCTTACCAGGCTGGAATCTGCAGGACTGTCTATTAAGCTTGCAAAGTGCCAGTTCTGCAGGAGCGAACTCACCTTTCTGGGTTATAAGATTACCACAAATGGTATACTGCCAAATGAGGAAAAAGTGAAGGCAGTAGTGGACTTCCATACCCCAGCTAATGTGAAACAAGTCAGACAGTTTCTGGGAATGACCAGCTATTATAGGCGTTTCATCTACGATTATGCCCGCCATGCTGAGCCACTCTTTGCGTTGACCAGGACGGATGTTCCTTTTGTATGGTCAGATGAATGTCAGACAGCCATGAATTTTCTCAAAGAAAAGCTGGCCTCCGCGCCTGTTTTGACATTTCCAGACTTCTCTCTTCCTTTCTCTATCCATGCGGATGCGTGCGATAGTGGACTTGGCGCTGCACTTATGCAAAAGGACAGCAATGGCAGGGATGTTGTGGTGGCCTATGCTAGTCGTGCCCTGCATAAGTCTGAAAAACCCTATTCTACTCCAGAAAAAGAGTGCTTGGCAGTCATCTGGGCCCTTGAACACTTCAGGCCTTATATTGAGGGTCTACACGTGACTATCTTCTCTGATCACAGCAGTTTAAGATGGCTTATGTCGCGCCCAAACCTCTCAGGCCGGCTGGCTAGGTGGTCTCTCAGATTGCAGGACTTCGACTTTGACATTGTCCATAAGCCAGGGACAAGCAACAGAGTGCCTGATGCACTTTCTCGAAACCCTGCTACTTCCGGCAGTGTACCCTTTGGACTTCTCCCTGACTATGCCATAATTGGGGGCCTTGACCTGCGTGCTTTACCCCCTGTTATTTTTTCGGATCGAGAGCACATTAGGCAGCTACAGCTCAATGACCCAGAGACTGGAAAGCTTCTGCGGATGTTGGAGGGACAGGATGAGAGGGCCACTGAAGAGTTGTCTCAGTATGAGATCCAGGATGGACTCCTGTACTTCGTGGATGACAAAGTGGCTTGTAATCTCCATCCGATGAAGCGCCTCAAACTGTACACACCTACGGCTATGAAAAGGAGTTTGATGGAATATTATCACGATCACCCGATGGCTGGCCACCTTGGTATGACAAAGACGATAGCAAGGCTGAAACTTCGATTTTACTGGCCGAAAATGTCATCTGACGCTAAGAAGTATGTCGCCTCCTGTACTGTCTGCCAGTTCACAAAACCAAGCCAGAGGAAACCTGCTGGGTTTATGGTTCCCATCCGCCCTCAAAGACCTTGGGAGTATACTGGAGTGGACTTTGTGGGCCCTTTACCACGCACACCCTGCGGTAATGCATACATACTGGTTTTTGTGGACTATTTTTCGAAGTGGGTGGAGGTTAGTGCAGTAAGAGAAGCGACTGCCCAGGTGGCTGCCAGCAAGTTGCTTAGCGAGGTGTTTGCACGACATGGGGTGCCTAATTACCTGATCTCGGACAGAGGATCACCGTTTGTAAGTGAACTCTTCAGGCATGTTCTCACCACCCTGGGGTCGGAACACAGACTTACAACTGCGTATCACCCCCAGACAAATGCAACGGAGAGGGTGAATCGGACATTGAAAACTGCCATCCGTGCTTATGTTGGTAACAAGCACACAGCTTGGGATCGTTACCTGCCCCAAATTTGTTTTGCTTTGAGGACTGCACCACACGAAAGCACTGGCCAAAGCCCATCCATGTTACTGTATGGACGAGAATTGAATACTCCTCTTGACCTTATCACTCAGCCGAACAGTGATGGTGGAGATGAGCCGGGTATTCCATACCCAGAAAGCTTGGAGTCCTCGATCAGAGAAGCACATGATCATGCTAAGTCCACTTTGAATGAAAGCCATGACAAGAGAAAGAAGTACTACGATCAGAGACGTCGTTCTGTGTCTTACTCAGTGAATGAGTTGGTAAGAGTGAAGACTCATCCCCGTTCTGATGCCCTTGCCAACTTCACGGCTAAGCTAGCACCTCTATATGCGGGCCCTTACCGAATTGCACAAAAACTGTCAGAAGTGAACTACAGACTAATAGACGTGAGTACAGGGGCAGACGCAGGTGTTTTTCATGTCGTAAATCTGCTTCCTTTTCGTACCTGGGATCCAATTGTTGAATCAGAGACTGAGCCTGCTGACAGTTTTTTGGTTGACGAAGTGCTGGAGGAAACAGCTGGGGACCTAACAGACTTTGAAGCTAACGATGACTGTGATCGCCCAGTGACATACAGTGGTCATGATTTATCAGGAACTGGGGACAGTGTTGATTGGTTGCCTGACCTGCAGGTTGACGTTGGGTCTCAGAACAATGACTTGACTGTTAATGATGATGATCTTGACAGAAACCACTATGACTTGAGACCTCGACGTGCACCGAGAATCACCTCAGACTGGTCGAGTAATAGGTGGACGAATGTGTACCACACAGACAGACTGGACCTTAAATAGGGTTTAAATTGTGTGAATGTATGTCCATATGATTGGTTTGACACTGTAAAGGGAGAAGATCTAGCACTGTCAATAACAAAATGAAAAAGAGGAAAATTGAGAATTAGCATTAATAACTAGTCTGTTGAAATGTTGTTGTTCCAATGGTGAAAAAAAAACAGAGAAGAATGTTCTTTATTATGTCTCTAGTTGGTTATATGCTGTTTTCGTTTGTTTGAAATATGCCGCTGTAGACAATGTATTTTGGTCCATATGTTCTGTCATGTATGACAGTGTGTACCTTAATAATACATGCCCCTGTATGGTTCTGTTGTTTTGACAACTTTTCATGTATGAGGTTGTTTAAAGTGATGCTGTACTCAGTTGTGCACGGCTGAGGGCAGCCTTTACCTTCCTGGGGGGGATCTGTAACGGCCACCTAAAGTTGAGAAGTGTTGGTGACATGTTAATATGCCTTTAAGATAGCTACGTCTATTGCGTACGTTATTGTATGCGTGCTGTTAATGTGAGCGCGCACGCACGCTCAGTAGAGTGAAGACGGTTGCGAAGAGAGATGACCGCTCTATCGCTGGCTGTTATTTTGTTCTATTGTGTTTTGCTTCCACTTTGTTTTTGTGACGTTTTGCAGTGTTAATTTCCCTGTTGGCATCTTTCAACATGTATGTGAACAGTGTGCCTAACTAGGGAAGGGCCGCAATAAATCACTCGTGGAACTATAACGTTACCAGTTCGTTTCCACTGTTTTTTTCCTTGTCTTCATCTGGGCAGATTTAAAACTCTTGCAGACGTTACAGCATGGATTGCACGTTGTTTTAAGATGGAAAACTGAAGAAGATGGAATAGCGAACAGGGGACAAACGGAATGGTGAAAATGCACTCGTCTGCGTAAACCATAGACGTAACGTTACCGCTAACCTGCGAAAACCTTTCATTAACACGAAAATCTCCTGTCAACTCACAGCCGAAGCTCCAGCGGCTGGAATAGGAAAAACAGACTGTCTGGTCTTGTTGGATTGGGACGAGGGACAGTAAGAAAGATCCTGGCTTAGGCTGTGGCCTGGGGACAGGCTCTCATCTGCAGCTGCTGCTATATAAAAACATTATTGTACTGTTTAAAAACCACTTCGCGTTGGAATATTTGACTTAATTGTTGCGCGCGATTGTTTTGAAAACCATGGCGTCTTACGTGGATAACAGTTTTCGGCAGGCGGTGATGGTGAATCCTTCAGACAGGACGCAACAGGTCAGTCTTTTAAATCATTTATTATGTGCACTAGTGGGTGTTAAATGTTACAATATGCTGCATTTCTGCAGTTACTAGTATCACGTGCACGAACTGTTGTTTCTTTTACATTGATGATGACAACGCAGTGTTGCTATTAGAAAGTGCAATGAAATGAAATGTAGCTAACGTTACATGAATTGACATGTCAAGACACCTTCATTTATAGCGCTTTTTCCAATACAGACAGGTTTAAAGCAGCTTTACAGTGATAAAATATTGTTATGGCTGTTACAGCTCTAGAAGAAAGTCATTGATGTAATATAGCTTAACATATAGGCCTGTATTGTCCAAATCTTTTTCTAGTGCAGGCACGTGGATTTTGTCTTCACTGTTCACTGCAGTCCATTGCATAAACATAAAGTAAATGTTTGTAAACTTTACGTCTTTCACCTCCAAACAACCCTTGTCAGCTCAGCTTTACGTCGGAAACAGTAACGTTAACGTTAGGCTACGCTGTGGTTTTGTGTGACGTGAGACTGAATTTCATTTCGTTATATGTTTCATGGGAAAATATTGACCTGATATGCTTTGAAAGGCGTTGTGGTGATATTTTGCTGTTAGTCTCCACCCTTTTACTTTGCCACCGGAAAAAAAGCATTATTATTCGTTTTCAGCAGGGCTGTTGATGTTTGTAAAATGCATTTGCATTTTGTGTAATTTTCCCTTAGAAGTGCTTGTATCGTCTTTAGTGATTTGGAGAAACAACGAAAAAGATCCGATACCGTCGAGTTGGACACTTAAAGTGACAGGGTGCTTTTTCAGACATAAAATAAACCGTATTATTCTTCTACAACCGCACATCTGTTTAATTAGATTTTGCCCTCTGTTTCATCTTAGGTTGCAATAATTGTAATACTGATTTAAAAAAAAAATATATTTCTTTAATTATTATTATTATTTACAATCTTTGAAGTGCATAGTGCATTTAAGGTCATTGTTACAGTGGCCATGTGTTATTCCTGAACGATTGGGTGTTAAGTAAACGATTCTTGGGCTGCAATGAATGAGACATATCGTTTCGGAAAGAAGCATGCACATCTGATGATTTGGATGCTCTGAAAAAATCAATGTTGCTGGAGTTGATTTGCATTCATTCAGTTGTCCGCCTACAAAGATAATAACCATTAATTTATTTGTATATGTTAACCATTTCTTCGTATTGCTATGACCATATGTGGCCACAGTGTTTCTTTTTTGAGTTAGTAGCAAGTCATTAATTTATTTGCAGCTTTAGGTTAGCCTTTGAAAAGACAACAATAATACCCTAAAATAAACTAAACCAATTTCCATTTACTCACCCTTAATCCATCCTATAACTTTCTTCTTTCAGTCAAACACATTCAGAGATATATAAAAAAATATCACCTGCCACTTAACTCGTGTACATTTGTTACTGGAAGCCATAAAATTATAAATATACATGTTTCTTACAAAAACACATTGCTTTGCTTCAGAAGGCCTCATTAACCTTCTGGAGGCATGTGGATTACTTTTATGATGGATGGATGCCCTGTTGTGGGCTTCAAAAAACAAGGGACCATTCACTCCCATTATGAAGCTTTGAAGAGCCAGGATATTTTTTTAATAGAACAAAAAATGAGAAAGAAGAAAGCAGTATACCCCTAGGATGGCTTGAGGGTGAGTAATATGGTATAATTTTCTTTTCTGGGTGAACTAACCCTTTAATTCCATTCTGAGACCATCCAAATAAACGCTCCTTCATAGCCCAGACTGGAATGTTATAGGCTCTTGTCACAGTTTTTAAAAGCAAGAAAGTAGTCACACACTTCATGGAAATGAACAAGAATGATTCGTTCACTTTACAAAGATTCGTTCACAAACTAACACCACAAGTCAATACTAATTAAATAATGTGTCAACAAGTTCCTGTCGTGTAGAATTAGAAAAAGATTAAGGCTATTACATCCGATTGAGGCCCAAGACGTAACTAACTAATTGTGAAAGAACTGATTTTGTTCACTGGGAAAAAAAAAAAAAAAAATCACATGTTCATGAACTGAGTTGTTTGTACCTGGATTTAAGCATTACAGACAATAGAGGCACTTGAGGGTCAGTATGGTTTTCATTAGAAAACGCAATTCTGTACAGCTTCATTTAATAGAGATTACGTGATATTCCATGTCTGCTCTCATTGAGTGATCGTTCTCAGAGTAAGCACCGGTGTGGGTTGGGGAATACTGACCCCTAAAATCAGAACACATCTCACAAAGTTCACAACTGAGGTGGTCACTCGTTGCAAGTGCATAGGATATACAATCAAGGTCTATGCTTGACGTAATCTTGGTCAGATCATGTGGGCTAAAAAGGCTGTCCCATGAAATGGGCTTTAAGACACCATTAATGTGTAAAGACTTCTTTTTAGGGAATGACGCAGGCTATTCTAATGGCGCTTGAAGCTCATCATGGCTTTACAGCAACAACCTCAGCGCTTTGCATCAACATGCTGATGTGTGGTGTAGATCTTAATGAGGCCAATGATCCCCGGTTGGAGTGGGTTAGATGGGGGAAATTGTGGAGGGTGTGGCCTGTACAGGCTTTGGGACACTATTTGCTACAGCAGACGCGGTCAAAGAGACCATAAAAAGGCTGATGGTACTTTGTGCTTTGACCTCTGTGAGTCGGTGCTAGAGGGCACATCTCTTATTGTTCCTTAGAGATTGATCTTGAGTATTAGGTAATTGAACAAGCTAAATATATCTCTTTGGCGTCAGAAGACAATATTTGGCTGTTTTTTTTTTGTTTGTTTTGATGCCCACAAAGATATAATCCTGGTCATCCTGGACTGATGGTTTCCTTCCATGCAGCTTCCTTCCTTTCTTTCACAGGGAGAGGAAGTGCATCAGAGATTGACACATCTTAAGAAAGCCTTTTTCTTGTTTGTCTTAAATTCCTTCCTTTTTATGCTTCACTGATGAAGCTTTGTATACACACATATGCCAGTCAGTGAGCTGCAGGTGTCCGTGTCATCTGAATTTTTAAGAGCTGTGGCATATGGATGAATCTCACAAAATCTGTCAAGAAATTGTCTATGTTGAATTTGACCTATAAAATAAATAAATATTTGAATTGAAAGAAATGAAGCCTGTTTAAAAAAACTCTCATACTGTAATGCCAAAGTAAAGATGTATTATTTAAACTTTATTTATGCAGTTTGTACTGCTTTATGCTGATTTAAGTTAAAAGTGTTAAGGTTTGTTCACACACTGATAATAATAAAGATGACTCCATTAGTGTCCACACCACAGTAAGCACGTGCTTGTCTGGTACTTTGAATGTTCAAGCTTGTTACAGCAGGATGTATTCTGATTGGCTGTAAATGCTTTTATCGTTCATCAGCTGGATAAAATCGTTCTGAAAGTGATTCCAATGAGCGATATCGTTCGTTTCTCTGTGCCATTATCGTTATAGCTTTGGTGTGAACTCTGGTGTTCTTTTTTAATGAACAAGATTTGTTTTCATCATTATCTATATATTGTCCTTGGTGTGAAACGGCCTTTAGTCATTTTTACATACTGTACTGCAGAAATGTGAATCTTATGAAATTTAAATGTGAATCTTAACAATGAGCATTAACAACAAAAACATGTTTAGGAAGTAAAAATAGCCAGACAACAGTCTACAGATGTGGAATGGGTTGAATCATATTTAACAAATTTTTCTTTAAGACAAAAACAACAAAATTTTTAAGGATGTGGTAAAACATTGCCAAGTCACATTTGATTCCAAAATAAAAAGAAAAATCTAACATATAATACAAAAAAAAAAAAAAAAATATTACATGTTAGAGCTTTCTTTTTATTTTGGAATGAAATGTGACTTGGCCATGTTTTACCACACCCTTAAATCATAAAAATGTTAGGCTGTTTTTTTTTTTTTTTTTAAATGAAAATGAGTTAGAAACATGATTCAACCCATTCCAAATCTGTAGATGGTTGTCTGGACTCTGGCCATGTTTTAATGTTTAAGCACTAGCAGTAAGCTATTCTAATGGCCTCTGGACAGAAAAAAATTCTGAATTTTTACATATTCGTCTTGTTCTTAGTCTTTCTGCCAAGTCAAGTCGCGTTATGAATGGCAGTCATTGCCTGGACTGAAATGGCTGGACACATACTGTACATACACAAGCGTGCGTGAACAAAGAGCGGTTTCAGTGACAGCTCCCATCTCAGTTTACACAGGAAGAATAGACTGACTGGCTGGAGAACATAAACAAATGATGACAACTGTCGCGTTAATACCAGAACATGTGGCACGTCTTTCTATTCCTCTGTCTTTTACTTGTGAGATATTATTCTTTGTTAATGCGTAGCCTTCATGTAATGGAAACCAAACACTGGTTGTCAAAATGATTATTGAAATGGATTGTCTTATTGGGTATTTTCAGTATGGTGCTGCTTTGTGTATCAAATTGTGCTCTGTGAAAGTTAAAGTTGGCCAGCCACAGGTTTTATTTGTTTATTTAAAAGAAAAAGTTAAGGAATGCCTAATGACCGAAATGGGATTTCACTAGGATTTGGAAGGCAAATTAATTTTTTTTTGGGGGGGGGGGGGGGGGGGGGGGGGGGGGGCATTCCAATCCAGTTATTGCTGGACCAACAGCATTTCATTGCTCGTCGGTTTTACTTTTGGTTGGAGAATGAATCTAATAAGCTCATCCAATGAAATGAATGCAATATTTGAATGCACCAGTGATCATCACATGCTTAATTTACTCACAAACTTAAAAGTTCCTCATCACAAGCTACAGTTGGTCACATTAATGTGTATTTTACCTGCTGTGCACAAGTGTTCTGCTTTATATGGATAAATCTAGTGATAGCTTTCTAAAATTCTACCATTCAAAGGTAAGAGTAACTTCTGCTTATGCTTCAAGGATTTTGCTGAGAAAAATAGATATAGCCCATAACATGACAATTAGCGCTTGTGGAATGATACTT